AATCGGGAATTCTGGAGATGGCTTCATCCAGGAGAACTGAGCAATTCCTGGGATTCTGGGAATTCTGGGAATGGTGTTCATCCAGAACTGAGGAGCCCCGGAATTCTGGGAATCCTGAAATTCCTGGAATTCTGGGAATGGCTTCATCCAGGAGAATTGAGGATTCTGGAATTCCTGGAATTCTGGCATTTGCTTCATTGAGGAGAACTGAGCATTCCTGGGAATCCTGGAATTCCCAGAATTCTGGGACTGGCTCCCAAATGGGCCCTGAGGAGAACTGAGCATTCCCAGGAATGTCAGAATTCCCGGAATTCCGGGATTTTCTCCCCCCAGGAATTCGTGTACATAAAACACGCCCAGAGCCTTTCCCGGGGGGAAATTGGGAATTTGGGATGGTCCCAAATCCCGCCGGGAATTCCCGGGAATGTCGGACCTGGGGGGGATTTGGGATTTCCAGGCTCTTCCCAGGAATTCCCAGGGAGGCTTTTCCAGCAAAATCCACTTTTTTGGATTTTTTGTTGTTGTTGTTGTTGTTTTTGGGGTTTTTTTTTCTTGGTTTTTGTTTGGTTTTTTTTTCTGGATTTTTTTTTCCTGTTCCTGGTGTGTTTGGTTGGGAAGGAGGAGATTCCAAAGTCCTGGAATTCCCAAGGGAGCAGGAGGAGGAAAAAAGGAGGAAAAAAAGATGGAAACAGGAAGGAAAAAAAGGGAAAAAAATATGGAAGAGGAAAAATAAGGGAAAAAAAAAAAAAGAGGAATAAAGCTGGGACAAAAAGGAGAAAAAAAAAAAAAAAAAAAAAAAAATTTCCTTTGGCAAAGGAATAAGAACCCCCCCCCCCCAAAAAAAAAATCCAGGATTGGGAAGGGATCCCAAAATCTGGAATGAGGGTGAGGGTTGGGGCTTTTCCAGCTTTTTTTCCAAGCCCTTTCCCAACTTTTTTTCCGGACCCTTTTCCAATTTTTTTCCAGGTTTTTATCCGGCCCTTTCCCATTTTTTTTTCCATTTTTTTCCAGTTTTTCCCAGCTCCTCCTGTCCCTCGGGACCCGGGACCTTTCCCGCTCCAAATCCCCCAGGAAATCCTCTGGAAAAGCCCCTGAGAATTCCCAGAATTCCCGGAATTCCCTGTGACCCCCCTCCCCCGTCCCTGTAAATTTGTACCATACACTAAAATCCCAACAACTGCTGTGCTCACTTTGGGGTTTTTTGGGTTTTTTTCCCGTTTTTTTGCGTTTTTCGGGATGGCAGAAGCTGCTTCGGGGTTAAAATTCGGGATTTCTTTTGTTTTTCTGATTTTTTTTTTTTTTGGAGCGTTTTAATCCCAGGTTTTTTTTAATTTTTCCAAGCAGGATTTTTTTTCCCTCCCTCCTCCCTTTCGCCCTGGGCAGGGGGATGGACGGGAAAACGGTTAAAAAAAAATTTAAAAAAAAAAAAAAAAAGTGGAAAAAAAAAAAAAAAAAAAAAAAAAAAAAAAAAAAAAAAAAAAAAAAAAAATCCCCCCGGGCCGGGTGTAAATAGAGAGAAGAAATTAAAGTTTCTACCAGATCTAGAAAGGAAAAAAAAATTCCCAAAAGAGGAAAAAAAAAAAAATTATGGAAAAATGGCTTTGGACCCGCGGTTTTCCAGAATTTCAGTGCCTTGAGCTGGATTTGGGGGGGAGGGAGGGAGGGGCTGGAATTTCGGGAATATTCCCTTGGAATTCTGGGAATGTTCCCCCAGGATTTCGGGGCTGCTCCCTTGGAATTCTGGGGACGTTTCCCCCTGGAATTTTGGGAATGTTCGCCTGGAATTCTGGGGATCTTCCCCCCTGGAATTTTGGGGTTGGACTCCTGGAATTTTGGGAATGTGTCCCTGAACCTTTGGGAATGTTCCCCTGGGATTCTGGGAATGTGTCCCTGGAATTTTGGGGCTGGACTCCTGGAATTTCGGGAATGCTCCCCCGGGGTTTGGGGGATTTTTTCGGGAATGCTCCCCCGGGGTTTGGGGACGTGCTGAGGAAGCCGCGGGCTGCAGAGGCTCTCAGGAATTCTTTATTCTGTAGGAATCGATTCCATTAAACTCCAGTGGTTTAACCCTTGCTGTGCCCTGGCCTCGGCTCTTCCCAGGAAAAGCCCGGGAATGGGGATGGGGGAGGGGCTGGGGGCTCCGGCTGCACCCCCCAATTTTGGTCCTTGCCCCCCAAAAACGGGGCTTGGGAAGGGTTGGGGGCCCCTCTGTCCCCGGGGGTGAAAATCCGAAATTTTGGGGTTTTTAA